AATTAGTTATGGTTGAAAAATAGTTCTAACTGCTAAATTTTTGTAACTTATTTAAAAAGCTGAATACAGGACGTTTAAGATGTCCTGATAAAGTCAATATAGAATGCAGGAAAAAATCACATACAGCACATGTCCTGTGTGTTCAGGACAGCTGGCAACCCTAGATGAAGTTCATGTCTGAGGCAAGGTTTTTTAGCACCAAGCTCTCCCAGCATTGTTGAGAGGGCATCCTAGAGTTCTGTGGGTGTCAAGGCCCACTGCCCCACAAAGGGAGATGAGGCTGAATGGATAGGACTCTGGGCTTGCAGTCCCCACTTTACCCAGACTGCTCAGCCTTCCTTGTGTTCATGGATTGGATTTCTAGGAAAGGCTTCAGCTGGAGTAAGCAGTCTCATGTCTAAAGTTTTGATGATAATTATCCCCAAGTTAGTACTCAAGTTAGATAAAGAATGTGTCATGAAGTTCTAATCTCCAGAAACATGGACCCAAGATTGCCTATAGTCCCTTGCTCTGTACGTCATGAGAGACTTGAATTACTACAGAGTTGCTAGCTGCCTAGGACACATTAGTTACAGCAGATACGTGTCTATGTACTGTGAGTGTAAGCTCCACCCTAAATAAAGGCTATCAAGAGTAGAGACCCAAGACATCAGATTCAAGATTGAAAAATCATACATATATTTTATTATATATATATTTTAAGCCACAAATACACAGGTACAGGCAATACACAGGGAAAAGGCACAAGTATCTGTTTAAAAGAGAGTTTAAGGAAACAGGAAAACTTCCTCTGATTGGTAGATTTCTGAGTGAATACTTTTTTCCCTTTAAACTCTTCCTTGAATTTATTAAGCTTTGTGTAATTTTTGGTTCCAATAGTATTTGCAGGGGAGGAGACAGAATATAGGCCACTATATGCACACCACTTGATTTTACCTCTACCTGTGGCCTCAAATGACATCTCTTGATGCAGCCAAACCTAATCTGCAGCCTGGGCCCCTCCTGATAGCCAGACTTTTGGTTTCTACTACCCACTGGACATCTCTACTTGGACAGACAGCAAAACCTTACCATCTATATGGCCCACACTGACCTCATCCACCATCCACCACACCCTTCCTCATCTTTACCTCTAACTTAAATTCCCACTAACTCTCCCTCCTCTTTATCCTCAATCTCATCTAAGAGGAATAGCTTCTATCTAGTCGGTCAACCTGCAAAACTCAGAGTCATTAGAGACTCTCTTCTACCCTACCCTATCGCATTGTCCTCTAACTTCCTAAAACTCAAATCTGTTTCAAATCCTCAGCCTGAATCAAATGCTTTGCCATTTTCTTTACTTAGTGTTCAATAAGTACTTGCTGGATGAATGAATGAATGAATGAATCAATCAATCAATCCAATCAGTCAAAGTACCAGAGGTGACATTCACTGATCAAAATAATCCCTGGTGGGATCTTCTGCCTCCGTGAATTCCCATGGGAAACTACCACTAAGAATATGATCATCAACATCTCCTTCCTAGACCCTAACACCCTCATCTTGGAGGTAGGGATGCTGGCAACAACATAGTACATCATTATGCTTCCATTACTGGACCCCACACATCTCTATCATCCTCTGTCAATTTAACAAGGAATTGTAGCATCTCCATCAGTTCACCATACACTCTGAAAATGTCTACCCCCTGGTCCAATCCCCTATCCCAGGCAGTATCTGGTGATAACACAGGCCAGCAAACACAGCCCTAGGACACCCACCTCTGATGTGCCAAAAATTCAGGGATTGTAAAAAGGCAGTCTGAGTTAGAGACACAGTTTGGGTTGTTTTTCAAGACATGTCCACACTTAGCCCTTAACGTGCAGTCACTGGAATAATTAGCCCCTAAAGGCATTCCTTCTCCAACTTCCCCATCCTTGCAATTGCATATCCCTTTGCACTACTCATAGTATCTCTGGCCTGTCTCAATTGTTTGTCATTCACTAACCTTACCCAGTCACATAGCCTCAACCTAAGTAAAGGGGTTCCACTATATATAAGGTAAAAAGATAGCCATTTCCAGACAACATAAAGATAGCTCCCAGCCCAGGTACATTGGCAAATGTACTCTGGACCCCCAGGGTCACCAAGAAATGTGGCTCTACTAGAATCCATCAATAACATCACTAGTTGATACAGAAGAGCCAGCTATATTCTGCCTGATAACGTGTAGAGAGGATTCTAAGGTAGAGCAGGATGTCTGATGTGCTTTGGGTTCTTTCATCAAATTATCTGCCCATTTAGATCACTCAACAATTTCCAGCTGGTAGAGGTGAGTCAGAAATTTTCCAAGCCTATTCATGTAAGTGTTACCGGATGCCCCATCCTGATCCTTATGGTCACTTCTCCACGTGATGCTGAACTCGAGATTCAGATTCCCACCTGCCAGCTTGCCCTCAGCCCTCTGTACTTGGTTTTGCTGGTGGTCTCTCTCATGGACTCTGGAAATTGCTCTCCCTTGCCGTCTTCCTCATACCCCTCACTACATGACAGTGTACTGTCTGGCCCCAATCTCTGGCACCTGTTCGTTTTAACCAAATCTTTTCTTCTCAATGTAAAAGGAAAATACCTAGTTGCCATCAGAATTTTATTAAAGCATGTTCAGAGGAATCCTGTAACTCCAAGTATCATTGCAGAAATCCAGATTTATATGAGCAAGAGATTAAGTTAATTTTCTGCTCAGCCTAATTATAAAACAGGAAAATACAAATTAATACAACTGTGAGACATTATTTTTTAATATATGTTTGACCAAAAGTTAAGGGACGAAAAGCCAAAATGTGAAGAGAGTATTTACATACATTAATTTGTGAGAATATGAAATGATAGATTTGTGAGATGATATTTTGGCAATATTTATAAAAAATTACAATTTTCATATCCTCTCCACTTTATCCCACTTTCTGTTTTCCATGTATTTCCTATGCACATTTGCCCAAAAACTGATGTCCAAAGATACTGATTTCAGTTCTATTAACCATGTAAACTCATGGGAACTATTTACGTGTCCATTAGGAAGAGAATAATTAAATTATTCTGGAACATTCATACTTTAGAATCCTAGAGAGCAGTTAAAAAAATGAAGTGGATTTACATGTTTTGTCATAGAACAATACTGCGTTCCTTTTATTAAATGACAAAGGCAAATGAGAGAATATGTACATCACTACCCATTACATTAAAGAAATCACAGTATATTTTTATAGCACATCTATGTATTAGAACGTTATCCTTAAAGTTATAACACACACCATATATTTCATTGCAGTTACCTCTGAGAAGAAAGCTTAATTTTGGAGGAATATTGTAATGGGAAGGGATAGATTTATGTATGTTAGAAATATTTGCAACAAGAATATATGCACTATTACTAGCTTTGTCATCAAATTTTTTAAATAAGCTTAACAAGCTTAATAAGCTTAGTACCTGTTTATTAGTTAGATAAAGTAACTGCTAGCTGATACAAAACATAAAACCTAAAATCTGAATGGCTTAACACAACAAAGGCTTATTTCTTGTGCACATAAAATTTGATGTGATTTGGCAGAGGATCTTTTCTACTGTGTGGCCCAGAGACCCAGGCCATTTCCCTATTAGAGAATATATTATTTAATTTGGGCTCTGGGGCTATTTCCCAATTGAATGCAACTCAGAGCTCCTAGAATTTGTGTCAAGGGCTTCCCTCCCTCCCAGTTGCCCTTCCAACACTCCAAAAATCTAGGCCTTGCTTACTTTGCCAAATTATACTGAATATAACCTATTTAAATGTCTCTTGAATGGTGCAGGCTCTGAATCTCCCAGCCCAGGGCAAAAAGTGCCAGTGCAGTGGCTTCTGGTGACACTTACCTCAAGAAAGTACCACCCTTATTTCTTGCTAACTCTTTGAAGATGATATTCATAAAACACCAAATTTGTGCTATGTGTTCATCTGTACTTGGATAAGAACACAGGTTATCTTCCATTTTTGTCCCAGGTTGGATCTGGTTTACCCATGATTGCAAAGTAACTGCTAAAAACAGTTTTCCATTACAGGCTTAAGTCTCTGAACTCTGAGATCCACCATCTGAGGGTCTTGCCCCTGCTCACCACTCGCACTGCCTCATCTAGCGTACCATACAGTTTAACTTAAAATTATCTGTCATTGAAAGACTTGCAGTTTTCCAAGGCCTTAGCCTGCCTTGTCTCAGGACCTTTACACTTGATCGTCCTCATATGGAACCCACCTCCCGACTTCCTTTGACTTTTTCTTTGGTATTAAAGGATACTCACCATTTTCTTTACGTGATTCCTGCACTTAGACTGTCCAATTCTATGGGTGGGAAGTGAATCTTGTTCATCCTAACATCCCCAGTACACACAGAGTGCTTTCTAAGGAGCAGATGCTGAATTAATGTTTTGAAAATAAATGAGCCAGTGTACATGAAGTCTAATTTATTAAGATTTTTTTCTCATACATTCTTAAACAAGCTGAGCAAATGCATGTAGATGTCATTTAATTTTACAGAATGGCAGATTAAAAGGGATAAAGGAAGCCAAGAATTGATCATCTTTTAGGTTTTTTTCCTGATCTCAACTATTTTACTGAGTTCTTTGACAGTTCCAAGGTAATGCCTATTCAAATGTCATGTTACCTTTTTCAGAACATAAAATAAGACTGTCAGTTTCACAATTTCATTTACAAACAAAACTTGTATTCTTAAATTTCATAAATAGCAATAAATGTAAGACTAATGCCATTCATAAACTTAGATTCTGAAGCTAATGAAATGTTATGTTAAATAGAACAACATTTGAAAACTAACTCTCCCCAAAAGAAGATAAAGCTGCACATTAACCATATAAGAGAGGGACACAAAAGATGTTATACACTGTGTCATCTACAGCCCCACCAGAGCATTCTACGAACTAAAAGGTTGACTGCTCTCTTCGATGACAAAGTGAAAAATCTGCCTCAGACTTCATTAGGGGTGGGGGTAGCTACCGGATTTGGCACTGGAACTTGCCCTAGCCTTGGCAGTGGTGCTAGCCCTGGCTGTAGTTCTAGCCTGGGCTCTCTCTGCTTCATCTCTCAAAGCCTCCTGATACTGGGATGAGAACCACTTGGGGTCAGACTGATGGATCTTGGTCAAAAACTCTAGCAATTTCATCTTGCTGGTTTCAGCATGGGCTCTTGGCCCCCACAGGAATTCATAACGTGGTGGATGACTGTTAGGCACTTGCTGGTACTCCAGGTATTTTTCCTGCACCAAATCTTTGGTGATGAACTTCCTGGGCTCCCCAAAAATGAAGTGATTTCTCCCAGAATATAAGCCCATCATATTCAGCACTTCCCAGATCTCCTCCTCAGTTGCACAATTGCCCTTCATAAAGATTACACCTAGGACAATTATCAGGAGGCTGGTCTTTGGCATGGTCCCATCGCCACTCAGCCTCGGATCATAGGTGAGGCCTAGTTTGTTAACAAGGACATAGCTATGGCTACTGGTGTCCACCTCCTCCACATCAATGCCAAAGACCAGCTCCATGTGCTCAGAGGCTCTCTTGAAGATCTCAGGGAAGTCACTCCTATACTCTTTAATAACAACATCAATCATGTCTGCTTTTGTGATGGGCTCATTCATTTGATACTTGTGCAGCAGGAACTGCACCAACAAAGTAACCTTCTCATCTAAAGTGCCTAGAGGCAAGTTTTCAGTGTCTGGTCGGTACTTTGAAGAAGCTGAACTAGCCTCCCTTTCTTGACTGTCATTGCTCTTATCTAATTTGCATGATGAGATGGCTTTCTGAGGACTCTGGGGGCTACAGGGGGTCCCAGTAGCCAGAGCCTCCAGGTTGCCAGGCACTGGACGATGGGAGGAGAGAGAGATCTCCTCCAGAGCCTGGGAGACCTGTGCAGCCTCCAGGCCCTGAGTCTCACTGTGGGCACAGTGTTGTTCCTGTTTCCAATGTGGAATCTTCTGATGACGAGACATGCTCACTCTTGGTGGTAGCAGGCAGGAATGTGGGCAGGAGGTGGATGATAGGGGACCACAACCTAAGGAGAAAGGGAGGATGTGAGTGGCCTCATACTCTGATAAACAGTGCCTCTACCCATATTCTCCTGAGGGCAGTGCTCTAGAGTGTGTGATCCCCCCAGTCCCTACTCAGCATCTTACCTTGGTTCCTGGCAGGGTCTTGGAATCTTCCTTCTGTTCACCTGAGGCAGCAGTGCTCAGAACAGACCTCACCTCCCTGCAAACCAAAGGGTAAAAGTCAGCAGGCAACTCAATCTGACAGTTATTCCAAGGCCTCCTAGAACTGACAGCAGGGACTAGGCCCTTACCTAGGGATCCCCCTGTTGTGAGGCAGATGGTCCCACTGGCCTCCACTCTTGCTGAGAGTTGGGCAGGGCCTGCCATTCCTCCCTCTACTGAACTGAGGCCTCCTTCCTCAGAACAAAGTATTCACCACCCTAACATTCTCCTGGAAGAGTCCGTGAATGCCAATTGCAACTACTTTGCTCAGCACCTCCCAGGAGTGAAAACAGGGGTGGAATTCTGTAGGGCTCCTTCCAGTGTGGGGTGGATGTTCCCTAAATATTCACTCAGCATCTTACCTTGACTCTGGAAGAGGCTGGGACTCCTCCTTCTGCGGACTGGAGGCTGCACCCCTCAGTCCAAAGCCTTTTCCTCTCTGAGACTCCTAAGGCAAAGTTAGGGGAAATGACTTCACCTTGTCCCCCCACTCACCTAGGGCTGACAGCAGAGGTCTGAGAAGCCCCTCCATTCTGGAGGAGGCGTCCCCTCAATCCTTACTTGGCATCTTATCTCAACTCCTGGCAAGGTCTAGGACTCACCACCCCCCCCCACTCCCCCCGCCGCTCACTTGAGGCAACACTCTTCAGGACAGGCCTCACTTCCTTGCAAACCCAATGTGGAAGTCAGGGGGCAACTCATTCTGACAGTTATTCTGGGAGTTCCTACGGTTGGAGCCGGGGTTGGTCTATTATCTTTAGAATCCCCTCTGTTCTGTAGTGGTAGTGATCTCATTCCCCATTCGGCATCTTACCTGGCCCTGCCCCTGAGACCAAGACCCGCACCACCCCTCAGATTCCCGAGGTCCAAGTCAGTAGCGCGTCAGGCTAACAGTTATTCCCGGGGCTCCACGGGTTGACAAAAGAGACCGGACTTTATTCAGTGGGGCCCCTTCTATTCTGGGGTTATCAGTACCTTCGTTCGATGTCCTCACCTTGGCACTTGACCAGGCCTACGGTTTTTCCTTCTGCGGATGAAGGCCGCTCCTTTCAGGGCCGGCCTTCACCAACGAACAATACCCTGAAAGCGGAAGTTAGCTGACGTCGCTTCCGTTCCAACCCCTGCAGCTGTCCCCTTCTCCTCCAACTGACTATAATAACCGGGTCCTACCAGGCTGACAAAGTAGTAAAGTTCTGTGGGACTCCTTATATTCTGAGGTATTTAAACCCATTCAGTGCCTTCATCTGGAATCCCCACAGGGCCAGGGATTCCTCCGTCCGCAGACCTGAGGTTGTGCCCTGTACACTATGACCCTCACCACTGTCAGACTCCCAAGGGGCGGGAGTCAGAGGGAGCCTAACAATGGTGGTAGAACTTTTGGAGCGCCCTCCATTTTGGAGAAGGTGGTGTCCTCAGTCCCGACTCAGTGTGTTACCTGGGCTTTACAAGGCCTGGGATACCTCCCTCTGATAACCTGAGGCTGCACCTCCTAGACTCAAGGCCCTCACACCCACCTTTAGACACCTGAGGCCAAAGTCAGGGGTTGCCACTTCTAGCCACCTCTACCAGGAGTCTCCTAGGTTGACAGCAGGGGTGAGGCACTGTGGGGTCCCTCTCTCCTGGAGTAAGTGGTTCCCAAGGTCCTTACTTAGGGTCTATACCGTGGCTCTTTTTGATTAATTGTTTCCTCGGCAATGACATTTTGCTGCCAATCTGTATGCATTTGCCCTATTGTGACTCTCATAGAGATTGAATCCAAGTTCCATGTTAGATGCTAGATGGTGAAGCTGCAGCACAGTGCATAAATACACACACACACACACACACACACACACACACACACACACACACACCCCTTCCCATTGGGTCCTTTATCTAACCAATTGGGAACCTTCTATTCTAGAAGACTTACTTGCTATAGGGAAGAGCCTTGTATAGACACATTGTTAAGGAGTCTTGCCACTCTCACTGGAAACATTGAATCACTTTATATAATTATGAAGTGGAGGAGTTCTAACAGCCAATATCAGTCCACTAGGTTAATGTGTGTGTCTTAACTTCTGATACCTGGATAAATAATTGAAATAGTAAAGCAAGACAGAACTTAGAAATTGTCATTTTATGGATGAGGAGCCTGGAGCATAGGGAGGTGATAAAGTATTTTTCAAGTCACTGATCATAAGGGTTAAATACTAAAGTTGTGCTCTATAATTATGTTCTCACTGAAAACATTTCAAATAATAGAGTCAAAACAAAATTCTCTTTTGCCTTTTCAATCCTCTTTGTCACCTGCACCATTGTATAATCTGTATAACCTTATTATTAGTTAATTTTTATGGGTATAATTGAGCATTTTATTTACATAAATCAAATTTATGTAAATTACATCAATATAATAAAGTATATATATTTTTTAATATTTCTTTTCCTCCAGTTAATGATCTATCTCGAAGAGATATCATATCAATCTTCAGAGTGGCCCAAAAGTTTGAAAATCAGATATTATTTTATTATTATTTGTAAATTGACGATATCCTTGATGGTATTCTATATATTGTCTATATCTCTAGACTTTATAAGTAGTCTATATATAGATCTGCCATTTTTTCTGTATTTAGAAAATAAAATACATGGCTATTTCTACAATTAAAATACACATATTTGTCTTCAAATATTTTAATGAATGGAAAGTGTTGAGATATATCATTAGTGTGCTAGGTATTGCTCATAAGAATTAGTAGGCCATACTGCTATACTCTACCTTTCTATCTTTTATAGACTTACCTCTGCATTTCCATTTCTTGATCTGCAAGGTCAGTCCACAAAGCTTTATTGCTTGTGGTGATGAAATACTCAGTAGGGTATGGTGAAGCATATGCAAATGACATCCAATGGCCCAAAGGCTCTAACACAGGATACAGTGAGGGATTTTTCATTTGATTTTTAAGAGCTTATAATTTTATTTCTACCCTGTAACTGGGTAAAACTGTTTCATCACCTAATACATCTAGTATGGAATCATTTAAAAACCCTTAAGATTTATTATGTTTATTTACAATTCTTTTCTGAGACTGAAGGATGAGAATAAGACAAAACCTACCTTCTATGCCTTTATTTCATTATTTTTATCCACTCTCATGTATTATATTATTAGCATAAAATAGATTTAATTCCTTTGTTTCATACATGTTTGGGAGTTGAAGACAGAGATTATTCATGGGCTATTTGGAATTAATGCGGTCTCGAATTTTAATGCTCCCTTCTTCATTTTCTTCAGTATTAAAGTCTATACTATGTCTCCTTTTAAAGCAAAAATACTTTAAAAGTGGTAAAATTCTGAATTATACTGTTGAACATGGTGTTTTTTAATAGCATATTAAATGCTTAAGATTGACAATGGTCATGCTCTACATTAAGTCAAAAAGCTGAAATAGAAAATTTTTTTCTTTAAAGGTAACAAGTGGATTTTTTCTTTCAATGAAATTTTTAACTTTTCAATCATAGTTAGCATACAACATTATATTAGTTTTGGGTGTAGAATATAGTGATTAGACATTTATATAACTTACAAAGTGATCACCTTGATAAATCTAGTATCCATTTGACACCATACATAGTTATTACGATATTATCGACTATATTCTTTATACTATACTTTACATCCCCATGACTATTTTGTAACTACCAATTAGTACTTCTTAATCACTTTCTCTTTTCACCCACCCAGACACCCTTTTCCATCTGACAAACCTCAAAATGTTCTCTGTATCTACGAGTTTATTTCTGTTTTGTTTATTTTGTTTCTTAGATTCTACATGTAAGGGAAATCATATGGCATTTGTCTTTCTCTTTCTGACTTACTCCACTCAGCACAATACCCTCTAGATATATCCACATTGTTGCAGATGGTGAAATTTCATTCTTTTTTATGGCTGAGTAATAGTCCACTGTATATATGTGCCATTTCTTCTTTATCCATTCATCCATTGATGTACACCCAGGTTGCCTCCATATCTTGGCTATTGTAAATAATGCTGCAATGAATATATGGATGCATATGTCCTTTTAAAGAAATGTTTTGGGTTTCTTCAGATAAATACCCAGAAGTAGGATAACTGGGTGCTTCTTTGCCTCTCGTTATAGCCTTTGTTTTAAAGTCTATTCTGTCTAGTATATGTATTGCTACCTCAGATTTTTTTGAATTTCCATTTTCATGAAATATCTTTTTCCATTTCTTTACTTTTAGTTTGTGTATGTCTTTTGATCTGAAATGAGTCTCATGTAGGCAGCCTATGTAAGGGTCTTGTTTTCTTATTTATCATCCACCTATCTTTTGATTGGAGCATTTGATTCTTTTTCATTTGAAGTACTTGGTGATAGATATGTAATTATTGCCATTTTTTTATTCATATTTTTGACACATATTCTTTTTCCTTCTTCTTAAAGAAGTTCCTCCAACATTTTCTGTAATACTGGCTTGGTGGTGATGAACTCTTTTAGTTTTCTTTTTTTTTTTTTTTTTGTCTGAGAAGCACTTTATCTGTCCTTTGATTCTAAATGATAGCTTTGTTGGTAGAGTAATCTTGGTAGTAGGTCCTTACTTTTCATCACTTTGACTATTTCATGCCAATCCCTTCTGGCCTCCAACATTTCTGTTGAGAAGTCAGCTGATAGTTTTATGGGGAGTCCTTTGTAGGTAACTAATTGCTTTTCTCTTGCTGCTTTTAAGATTATCTTTT